TTCCAATCCCAGACATTCTGTGATTCTGTGAATCCACTGGCACTTGATAGCATTTCCCTCACTGTATCTATTTACCATGTCTACAAAACTCCTAGAAAGTTTGTGCTCACAGGAATGTAAGTGGTCTCACTTACATATGACTGTAAGTGATATTTTGACTTACTAAGAAATAATAAATTAAAAAAAAAAAAATCTGTGATTGTATTGTGTACACTTTACTAAATTTTAGGAAAACCACTTTGTCTGGCAAAAGGACTTTACTCTTGTCCTGGTGCTGATGTAAATCACAGCTGTGATAAACAGCTATAAGACCCAGGTCTGCTGCCTATAAAGTGTTCACTATTTTTTTCTAGGCTATGGTCTGTGACAGCATAGAGAGGGGGTGTGCTAAACATTCTGAAGAAAACTTGGTAAACCTAGGACAGAACAATTTTATTTACCACTCAAAAACCAGCAGGCAGCCTTCAGGGCTACTGATTATCTACAAGAGCAAAGCAAAACCAGTAACTCCCATTTTATCAGTAGTCCAGAATATAATAATATCCACTGAACTGGGAGGCAGGTAATAGCCCTGAGCGGCAGATGAGTACAACATGGTAAGAAATAGCAGGCTGAAGCTTGAAGCTGTTAAGTGCTCAAGTCTAAGTGCTTTTTTGAAGAGCTCTGCAGATACCATCGTCCACAAGACAAGTATAATGCAAACAAGTAGTTCACCATTGAAAGCACTGGGAGACTTGACACATTATTCCTTCAAAATGTTTTCTACCAGTATTTCTCAGTGAATCACACAATAGGAAGCTGGCCAGTTTTACAACAGAGCATGCCTGGAAATAATGGCCATGATTTAACTTGAATCCTTTTGTTATATAAACTTGTCTTAAACCTAGGCCATGCATATGAAATGCTAACGTGGTACTGTGAACACAGAAAACTCAAGCTTGGAAATCTAACCTCTCTCTTGTGTAAAACCCAGGAATTTTGCTAATAGATATGCTGATATGATACATCAGGCTTGGAAAACAATTTGCTTTATACTACAATCTAAAAATGCACAGAAAATATGGATTGAGGTATAAAGTAATTGATCCAGTAGGAAATACTAGCAAGCATAGTAATTTCTGTTTCCTTATCTAAGTTCATGCAAACATAACAGCTGAAATCAAAACAGTACATGAACAGTTAATTCTGACCATGGAAAAGGAATAGTTTGTATTGATGCTTAATAAAGTACACATTTTACATATTCTTATTAGCTTCATATTAACAATGAATGTCTGTAATGAATTACAGACTGTTGTCTGACATTAGCTTTACTGAAAGTCTGTAAGTTTCTAGACGTGATCCAATAAGAGATCTGTAAAATTTTATCTCAGACCTCTACCAACTGTGTACTATTTCTTCTACTGCCTTTTAATTCTATACTACAGACACTAATAAAAGACTTTTTCAGTGTCAGAAGGATTGATATGTACTCTTTCTATAAATATGAATCATTATACAAACTCCGAGCAGACATTACATCCAGTATGTAGCTACGAGACTACACACATAAACATGCAGTAACAAAACATTTTTTAAGAGTATACTGGGCAAAGAGCAGGAACCCTGGGTCTCTAAATGCTCAAGGTTTGCCAATATACTTGCCAATATACTTGCCAATATGCAGACAGGCCAGTGGTCATAACTTAAGATTTACAATCTTGCTCTGCAGGTTATTTTGTTCCAGCCAACTGGTATCAGATCATATTGAAATCCACCAGAGGGTTGTCCCGTACCTCAGATTGCGAGAGGTTGAAACGAAAGTTGATGTTGCGATAGTATGAAAAGCTGAGAACTCAATTCTGGTCTCAGCTTTTTACAGAAAGACCCCTAGTGACTCCTGATAATGGAGAATCTGAGTATCACCCAGTGTGTAAAGCTCTGTTATGTATGAACCAAATATGAAACAGAAGCTGGGATGTGCTGTGAAAACAGACATGCCACAGCGGGTCGACACATGCAAAACTTCAGGTCCCGGAGTCTCTCAGTGAACTGGCCAATTTACATCTTGCTTCCCTTCTTTCCACTTTCTCCCATGCACCTTTTTCCTCACACAAGCAAGAGCTACCTACATTACAATCCCTTGACCTAACCAAATTCTATGAAATGCCCCTTTACATTCTGTTTGTGAGGTATTTATGTGTTATAAAACATGCAGTAGGATTTTAAAGAATCAGTATTGTTCAGACCACACAATTCCATGGCATACTAATAAATACTGGAGAAGCACAAAAGTTAACATATTTTGACCTTCAGAAACAAGGAGTTAGGAAAGCGTTTTAGTGGAGCTGCAAAAGTTGACAGTATTTTGGATATTACTCAAGCAAAATACTAAACTCTCTAGATTGCTACTAAAAATCAGTGAAAAGCTTTTTCTTTACAAGTCTTGCCAGCTTGCACATAAGCTCTTTACCACCCCTGAAGTCCCAGCAGGTACAGATTTACTGTGTATCTTAACAAATTTTATACCTAGTTGAGATGTAAAATACTCACCATCTGGGTCAGAAATCATGTCCAGAAGAGATTTATCCAGAGTGGATTTGCTCATTATTTTTTCCTCATATTCAAAATACACATCGAGTTTTCGACTCTGTTTAAGAGTAAGTGTTACGGTTAACATCTCAAAGCTGCAAAATAATTTTTTATTTCTTCTTTAAAAAGGTATATAGTTTTAGTTATCAAGATTGTTTTTAAAAATTATTCTTAAAGAAATTACCAGTAAAAACAACTTTAATTTTTTTAAGTTTAAATTTTTTAAATTTTAAAGTTGTTTTAAAAAAACAACTTTAATTACCAGTAAAAAAGCATTGTAATATGCTTTTATTAACTCTCTCAAAAAAATTGACATGTTATTCTTATACTAAAAGTGAAAATGCAAGTTAAGCAAGGGACATCTGACACGTAAATATTAAACTGGAAGAGGAGCTTTGTTTTCAACTATGGTTTTGCCATAGCTGAAAACTACATGCCATCATACACTGTGTTATGCTACAATAGGAAAAAATAACGTTCAAATGAATATTATGTAAAATTTATGCTGAACCTCAAGTCTCTTGGTCAACAAAGCAATGTAAATAAGTGTAGGAAATTCCTAAATTCATTAAGGCATCATCCCAGAGAAAAGCTGGCAACTGCCAACTTGGGCTGGTACTGAAATAGCTGCTTCAGATCAAAGGCTCACAGTAATTCACTCACACCAAAGATAGAGGACTTCATAATTAAATTATCTTGCTAACACTGGAAGTTTCTCATTATACAATGACACATGTAGATCAAGTCGTGAAAATCCTTTTTTGGTCAGGATGGCACAGGGACTGCACAAAACTAATGAGGCAAAAGCTTTATGAAAGACATCATGGCTGGCAACTAATGACTGCATCACAACACATCTCCACAAACAGCCAAGCTTTGCACTGCTCGACTATCATATAATCAACTTACAATCTAAAGATAGAAAAATGAGTTCTAAAACTTACTTAAAAAACTTCCATCACATCACAGATCATTATGAGCGTCTGAACATTAAAATGCAGCATCACAACAAACATTACAACTACTCAGCTGACAAAATCTTCATACTGGGTAACTAACTAAATCCTGGTGTTTGGACACGTGCAGCTACGTATTTGTCTCCAAGAGGAGACCAGCAGAGTGGATCTCCACCGCGTTGCCCTGGAAGTGTTTCAGCTCCACATCATACCCATTGGGACACTGAAGTGACATTGCCAGAGTGAGGCAAGAGCCACTGGGGCTTTTCTTGGGTTAAGAGATTCAAGAAATTTTGCCTGATATTGCTGAGGCATGCAAAACTGCCATGGTAACTTCTAACCCAGTGCACCGGTTGTTGTAATGACAGCAACATTAGAACTGCTCTTCACATGTTTTTGAATTCCACTAAAATTATTCCTGAGATCAAAAATAAGGAAATGGAATTTTAAAAAACAGTTATTCCACCACAACCCTGAAAAAGGGGAAAGGGAAAGAAAGAGGTACTTCTCTAGCCTAAGGATATTAGGGTATTTCACCTTCTGAGTATTTTAAGTTCATCAAAAAAGAGTTGCAGATGAGAATACAAAATAAAAAAAGAGGTAAGTCACAAGAATACCTTAATATTGAAAGCCTTTGGCAATCAGCTGAGAAAACTCAGTGATTGCATATATTTGCTATACTTTGAGCCTAAACTGCAACATTAATGGTACATTTACATTCAGTCTCTTAAAAAATTTTAGACAATTACTTTTGAAGTATGAACTTAGAACTCTTAGGGGGGAAAAAACCCCCAAACCTGAAAATCCTAAAATTTCAGGTCCTTTATTTCTATCCACAATAGAGACATCAGAGGTAAGCAGCAATGCAAAATTTTCAAGACTCTCTTTTTGATGCGACAAAAGCATGAACTAAAAGAGATGGATTGATATGGTGAGTCTATTTAGCTGCTTCTTCACTAGATAACTAACAAAGGCATCTAGCAAAGATGCTAATTAGGGCAATATTTTGCTTATACTGGTTTGCTAGGAATTAGATGGACACCTAATCAAATTTCACACGGATTACTGAACAGCCTTAAACACTACTAGTTACCTTTTGACAGATTTCCCAGATATGCCACATCAATGACACAGTTACTTCCCAAAGAGCCAACTTGTCTAAGAAGTGTTGATAAGCAGCAGATGTTCCATTTAATTTAAAAGTACAATTTTGCTCACTCAATGGCAAACTCACAGACATGCCAAGAAGAAAAGCTGGGGAATAGGAGCTAAACAATCCTGTAGATTCAATTAAAAAAAAGACAGCAAAGAAAAAGTTCTTATGGGTCCCAAACTGGCAAGCAAGGTGAAGAAAAAGAATACTAAAAACAATAATAAACTCAAAATGCATTCACATTTACAGTTATTCCTTTTCTGCCTCCTGCTCTTGATTTTCTATTATAACATCTTGTTCCACACCAATCTCATTCAGGGGACCTTTCTGGCTGCCAGTTCAGGGGCAGGATCTGTATTACTGCTACACCACTTCAGCTTGCTTTGTCTTTTTTTTTTTTTTTTAAATATATTTATGAAAGCCTTCTACTCAGCATCTTTAGAAACAGGTTCTACCTGAGCTCTGTACTTCAAAATGAACACAAAATTCCTTCTTTTTTTAAGCAGAGAAGTGGAAGCAGGACCTGTTGAAATCTCTTTGAGGATCATTTTTGTACGGACTTGTTGGAGACTCTCCTATTGTCTTTACAGTACAAAGGTTCTTTTAAAGGGAGAGAGAATATGTAGAAGATGATAAAATAAATTTTCTAAGAAATTACTGAGAGGAGATCCTGACAGAAAACAACCAGAAATAACAGCCCTCAGAATGAGTGAGGTTGGTCAGGTAATTGTAGTGTGCTCCTATCAGGAGGAAGAGAAACTCTGGGAGAAGGCTGAAAGGGGCAGCTACAGCCAGTTCCCTTCAACCCAACTGCACAGAATGATGCCAGAAAGGTCACTGTAACTGAACTCAGAAAAAGCTGTTGTTTACTGGAAAGTTACTCAATTATCAGTTCTGAACTAGAGAAAAACAGCCTGGACCACTGTGACATACATATTTCACAAACACAAACCATTTGTGTTCACAAGGTAAGGCAAGAAAGTAATCTCATTTAAAACAGAGTAGTTAACAGTGGAATTCCTTTACAAAATAGGAATCTGATAATTTGCAAGGCTATTGGCAATCCCAGTAATGAGTCATTCAAAGTATCAGGCCTTGAGATCGAGCAGAATCGGAGATACACATGACAATTATACAGGAATTAAGCCCCCCACTAAACCAAACAAGTGTAAGTAATCTAAACCGGATAATTAATACAAAAATCTGCTACTTGAATGTGTATGTATAGAATTCTAGCAAGATGTTACCTGATCTACTTCCTTTCCATTTAATCACTGTAGAAAAGTGCATGTGCACACCTTTTTATATGCCACAATTTAACATACTTCAGTAATCCTAATACTCATATTAGAATGACATGTAAAGATAAACATTACTTGAAACTCTAAAGTAGCTAGAAAGATATCCGTGATTCTAGTCCTAGATCTCCTGTCTGTTGGGTCCAGTCCTTCAGTCAACAGCTTCTTCAGAGAAAACAATCAATGCAAAACAAGGATGCATTTGTTCTAAGCACTGACAATAAATACTTGGTGGTTCACTTAGTGAAAAAAGTGATGCATTCTTTCCATTATTTCACTACAGACTTAGATATGCCAGAAAACTGCCAGGACCCCAGAGTATGTGATTAATTTCTGGTTTCCTCTTGCTGTGTCTTAGAAAATGATCCAAGAGAATGTGGAAAGCAGCTGTAAACTGAACACTAAAATACGAACACACAAAGAAATTAAATTCCCTTACTATATCTAAAGCAGGTCTTGTAGCATTCTTTGCACTGATCCTCATAGTAGTGAAGAGAAATGCTCAAATATTTAATGTAGGTCAAAAAACCATGATGAACAATGCAAATTGTCTATTCTGAAGTATGAATGTGCTTCCAGATTATTTTAGAAGTGAAAATATAGTAACCTGAAGAAGAGCATGGTGCCTCACTCACTCCTCATGACTGGGCACTTGCCAAAAAAATTCTCTCTCACCCTAATCTGGTTTAATTATTTAACTGTATATAAAACCTATTAACCACAGCCTCAAGGTGCCATCAGAATTTTTTTTTAAAGTACTGGCTGAGATATTGCCCTTTTTGAGAGTATTTTTGAGGAATCCATTAGGTACCATATCATCCTGCCCATTAAAATTCCACAGAGATAGAAAGATATTTTTCATAATGCTGGAGAGTGAAAAGGGGGAGAAGATGGATGGGCCAAAGCAGCTGGAAGAAACTTCACATTCATTCTGTGAAATGATTTTAGTGCAGGTAAATTTCAACAGAAAAAACATCTGCTTCTGCATTAGTCTGAGTTTCCTAAATATCTTGAGATGAAAGAAGTGAATCTTTCTAAACTAAAAGAAAAGATGATACAGGTGCACGTTATCATCAATATATTGAAGAAACTGCATGCCCATTTCTCTCCCAGTCTTCTTTGGCAGCTGTACAATACGAAGGCAAGGAGCCTGAGCACTTCACGACACCAGAATTAAAAATCACTTATGGAGAAATGGATCCCCAGTCCCTGGGAACTCTCCAATAGCAGGCTCCCTCTCAGAGGGACCAGAGGGACCCCAGGGTGATTCCTTCCACCTCTAGGCAACAGAAAAGTGTGTCACAATCACCTAATGGATAATGAACAAGCGCATCTGACTGCGGTCCACTGCCAAGAGTACACTGGCGATCAAAACTGATGTCATTGCCATTCCACACCCTGCTCTGAAACCTGGCTCTGTCCAACACACAATATAGAAAATACTCCTGGCATAGGCCTGCCATTACCATCTCAGTATCCTTCTTCGAAAAGTGAACTTACAGATTAGGCATTAAATAAAATATTGACATTTTCAACTTCTATTTTTTTCTGATGCTATTAATGTACTGCTTTTAAACTGCCAGACATGACAACTGACATGCCTAATACTGCAAAAGCACATAAACTTGCCCCTAATGAACCAAACATAGACACACACTTCTATCTCTTCTCCAATTTTATAAATATGTGAAATTAATTTATTCATTAAAATTCAGAATGAATCCTTTGTTCATTTATAGTGTTTAGTTTAAATCTGTCCTCAGCAGTAACAACTGAGGACAGATCTTATGCACTTTACTACTGTTAACATTAGCTTCAAAACACATTGCCTTTCATGAGTTATAAATAGCATGTAGTAAAACTTTCTAACTATTGAATCGCTTTCAAAACCAGAATGTCAGTGTTTCTGAAAGCCTCATCTATAATTTCTGTTCTCATACTGTGAAATCAGATCCCTCTTCCAAGTTATCCTTGTAGTAACCATAGTCTTTACTTGATCCTGAAACCGTCTGCAAGTTCTCTGATACAAGAGCAGCAGATTTAAACAGAAAAGAGGACAAGCAGCTTTCTGAAATGCTGAAATTACGCAGAAGACATCTAACACTGACCCTGCTGGAAAGACCAGTTTAATAACTTGCATCATTATTGCCACACCTCAGGGTATCATTTTCATTGGTGAACAGTGAACAGCACCCTTCTGATAAACACATATAGAACAGAAAATGACTTAGACTGAAGCCATAGCTTGCCATGACACTTCTCTAAAGTAAACAAAACACTTCATAAAAACACATGAGAGTACACTAGTAAATTCTGGTAATAAAAAATTTTATATGTTTACTTTGCTTTCCACATGGAGGCATTCAAAATTCATTCCTTCTCAGTCTGCAACACTAAGTAATGGGACACAGTGACTTCTGTAAAAGGTACCACAATAGAGAAGCCCCACTTTCTTGTCTATTTCACCTGCTCAAATATATTTCTCCAGGTAAGGAGCACTACTGGTAGAAAACTGAAGCTGGAGAGCAATCATACCTTTATATGCTCCAAAACGGCTGTTGCAACATTGGTATGAAGATCAATGAGTCTCTTCTTCTCCAGAAGTTCTGGAAGAGAGCTGAAGAGATTAAATACAAACTAACCTGCTGAGTTGCACAGTTAGTTGAACTGTGTATTTTATAAACAAAAAAAAAATTATAGAATCATAGAACAGTTTGGGTTCAAAGGGATGTTTAAAGAGTATTAAAATCTAAAATTATAGACTACAGTAGGATTGGAACTAAGAAGTTACAAAGTATAAATATGATTGTCGTAACAGAAGGACATAATCCACATGTAATGTAGTAAAACCTATTTTTACCTTAACTAGTAAAAAATACATATAATGTGGGTAATTTAATATTCCTATTGAAAGCCTGGGATCAACAACAGATATATGCCCTGCTTACCTAAACAAATAATCTACTAGAATTATGGCTTATATAATCAACATTTAGTTCATGTTGGACACACATAGAAGTATTAATATCAGCCAAGTAACAGTATCTGTCAAATAATAACAAATAATGTCAAATAATTAAACAACAACAACAACATCTGTTAAATAAACACAGAACCTCTGGATGTCCTGGAATTTGTCACAAGTGCTTCTGCATAGAACACAACTCTCTATGCAGGATTCATGATTGAAATATTTTCTTGTGTGAAACAGGAAACTGAATGATTACATTTACTTCATAGAAAATTTGTTACTTAAGGTGCTGTGATCTACATGATTGTCACTGCTAGCACTTGGGCATCACATGTATAAAAGACTGCTCAGGGTCTATACACTTTCACATCCAAAAGCACCATGGACCTTTACTCAGTTTAATAATAACCAGATGAGAAGGCACTTAATGACACTGACTGCGTGTCATGAAGAAACATGAAGTTAAGTAATCGTAATTTCTTTCCTCCTTTAAGCAATTATAAAATCAAGGCTACCTCTGATGATTGGCCAATTAATGACCTTATAGCTGTAAGGCGATTAATATTGCCTTTGTAAAGGACTGAATTTAAAAAAAAGAAAGAGAAAAAAAAGTCAGGAGATCCTCTATGTTAGAACTCCTGGTTTTTAATTACTAACAGACATTCCAAAGTTTTCTAGAAATTGTGAAGCCTAAGATAACTCTGAAGGGTATCTTCTAGCTCCAAGCAGATGATGGATAACAGAACAGCAAAGCCTAGTTTAATTCCTGCAGCAGAAACAGGCCTAAATGGAAGATCTTAACGGTATTTGGACTTCTCATCATAATCCTAAAGATTAGAGCCGAAACACTGCAATAGGAGAGCTCACTGTACTATACCCTTTTCTGAAGTGGGACAAGATTTTCCTTAATAATGCCAGCTTACAGAAAACAGTCATTTAGAGGCTAACTGAATAGTACGACTTCCTGATGAAGCTTTAGTCATGTGATTTTTTGTTTTCTATCATTTTAAAGCTCTTGATGCTTCTCACTTTCACACCTTGCTGCCTTAACCTGAAAACCAGCAACCTAAGAAATCCAAAACTTTAAAACTTCATAGGTGGAGCCTGGAAACATCTGCTCACTTTTTTGAAACTGATCCATCACACATCCTTTGTAATTCCAGTCAAATTCTAACCAGGGCACAGCATACAAAACAACTTCTGAAACTCATGAAGAGACAGCTAACTAATGCAGACACATGCTGGATCTCACAGGACACTGGGCATATCATCCCATCTATCCTCAGAATAATTACTGTTCCTTATTCCTTCTGATTGGGGTCTTAGCGAAAGGCAGCAAACTGAACATCTCCCTTCTGCGAGGCATCAGTGGAATGAGAAATGGTTTTACAATGAGGAACAAGTCTAAAGCTCAGACTTTCAGTGTCACCCATGGTGGCTAGGTTTCTAAAAGCAGGAGAGTGAATTTCCCATGCAGATTTCTTAATGACTATAATCTTGCCCACAGATGTTACAGTACGTACATTAATCAAAATGTAATTAATTACACAAGGTGCAAAGCAAGCAGATACTTCAGGAGGTAGATTTCACTAACAATTTTTTTAAGGAAGGAATGCAGAGGTAGGTAGTTCAGTTTTTCTGGTGGAAGAGTGTAAGCAAATCTATGTTGCACTCAGATTATTCAGCTTTGCTGAGGAAACACTCCAAAGCCATGTATAGAGGGCTCACGCACATACTGTGGAAGCTACATGTGCAAGTACTTGTCTGGGACATTGCTCTAAACTTTACCAGAATTGGAAAGCATTTAAACTCTATTATTGAGCTGAATAGCCTACTTTTCAAGCTATTTCTTTCAAAGACATTAAAAGTGAAATGACAGAAAGAATTAGAAATGCTTCCAAATTAATTAAACAACAATGCATTATTGATTACTTACCTGACAGCTGAAGTTAGCTTAGCTGTATTATCAGAAAGCATACTTATTGCTCCTTCATCCTCCCCTTCTATACCCTGGGTTTTGGGGAAGAGTTTGGAAAGAGGAATAAAAATAGTCATAATAAATACAAAGGTCACACGTGTAAATACAGTGAGTGCATTTAGAACCCATTTTCTCATAATGGTATTAATGTCTGGATTGTGTTTTACAGTTATTATGGAAGTTATATAAATGTTATGCCAATAAATGCAAGAAATTGAACCATCTCATGAAATATGGTACTTCTCATCCTACATTTAACACCGTATTATGCCTAAAATCCAGCATGTGCTGACAATTTTTGTGTGTGGGGTAAGAGAGTGGGCTAAGCATCTCTGTAAGTCCTATTATGCTTTATGTAAAGCACATATAGGTGATAAAACTTACCATGATACTTTTAAGTCTTTTGACTTCATCTTCTTGGGCTCTGTAGGATTCCAGTTCTTGCTGAACCGACTCGGCTACCTCTGGAAAAGGACTAATGCAATACTCCGCATTAGGCTCAGTTAAAACAACAAATTGAAACACTAGAACCAGACAGGTTGCGTAATCAAGATGATAACAAAAACATTTTTCAGAAATATCAATACACAAATCATGCAGCAGTATCAGATCAGTGAAAATAATGATATCTTACTGTAGGCTTACTTAAATTTTCTAAGATATATTCACTACTTTCAGTATTTTTATATAATTTTGGTAAGAACAATTTTGTGCTCTGTAACAAAAAGCTGATGTACAATTAATATGGACAATGAATATTGACAATGATCATGCCTTAAAAAAAATTCAAAGCAACTCAAAAATAGAACTACCATAATACGAAGAATACATAATATTTATATTGACTAAATTAATATAAACTCTGTACCTATACAGCTTACCTGCCCTTATGCTTTTGCCAGAATTTATCAGATGCAGTTAAATCATAGGACTTCTTATTTTTTTTCTTAGGTCTAGCACCTGTTGGAGAACTTTCTGTTCCTGTTGATTCTTCCAAGTTAACTCTATTCAAATGGAAATCCTGAAAAAGAGGAATCTTATGTAAATATTTGACAGTTTTTAGTTATTTAATCAGTGTTTTTAATTACTCAACCAATTATCTTGCAGAATATTTTCTAAAAAAATATTAACACAGCTGTTTATTAGAATTTCGTAAGAGGGCAGGAAACAATTTACTAACTAACCAGATAATAACAGCAGCAATGTAAGAACTCCAAAATTACTCACACATTGAAAAAATACCAAACAAAGCACCAAATGTTAAGCAAAGACATCTAATTGTCTCACATGCAAGTGATCTTCTGACACTCAACTCTGAACAGTTTTCTGTACCGAAAATAAATTATTTAGCAATAACTGTGCTCTAACAACTGACCAACACTTTAAAGTAACAAAAATTTCTGTGTTGCAGACAAAAAAATGTTTCAAAGTCTGAATTTCACTTACACAACTACAGCAAATGTATCAAAGCTGCAAAGAAGCTCATGACATCAACAACAGGAATATCCACTGTGAGGACCATTTAGCTACACTTTCACAGCTCTTTCTCTGGTTTTTTTAAACGCTAGTGAAATGGTGAGTGCATGATAAAGCAACACTTTGCAACAAAGCTGCTATTTCTCCATATAGCTTTTCTTCTTCAACAGATGCATGAACCTAGAAACTACATCTTTTTGGTAGATGACACAGTTACGCCCACATACTATGTTAGCACACTGATCCCTGTATGGCTTCTGGTTCTTTCCCCCACCACTTTGCCAAGGACAGCTCTGTATTTTCTGCAGCATACATACTCCCTCTGGTTTTCAGCAAAAATTAACAAGTACTCCACTTGCTGACTTTATTCTAACCTAACTTTATTCTAATTCTAATATTCTATTTGTTTTCAAGAACATTTAAAATTTCAAAGGTGCTCTTTGCTTGGCAAATAATATTAAAGAGAGTCAAATCTTCAACTATACAGACTCTGCCACAAAATTTTTAGAACAGATATTTTTTCCAGAAATAAAACTCCATTGATCCAAGAGATCAAATTACAGTATACAGAACTAGATCACTGTAAGTAAAATTGTCAAATAAAATTTTAAAATGTTTCTAGCTATCCCTTGACAGAGTTCACACTTAAAATGAAATATAACAAATGAACCATGCCAGAATAAAAACAAAACCAAGTAGTTACTCAAAGAAAGCCCATGCAGTCAAAAAGCAGAAATCTCATCATTTTTTTCAGCAAAAAAAGTTACTGTTCAAGTACATACGTTCAATAAAAACTTGAAGGAAAAAAAATAATTTGATTGCAGATTTAGCTGTACTTTTTAATGGAGATCTCTGTTTTGATACAATTTAACTCACCAGCAAAACAAAACCAAGTAGTTACTCAAAGAAAGCACATGCAGTCAAAAAAGCAGAAATCTCATCTTACAAGACTTTTTTTCAACAAAAAAAGTTATTGTTCAAGTACATATGTTCAATAAAAACTTAAAAGAAAAAAAATAATTTGATTGTAGATTCAGCTGTAATTTTTAATGGAGATCTCTGTTTTGACACAATTTAACTCACCAGTGACCTGAGCTTCCAAGTTAGTTTTGGCATTTACAAGGAGTCTTCCCAAAATGATTCTTATTGATTAGTGTTCCTCCTTTCACCTCCCCATTTTATAAGTCTTTATAAGGCTTTCTATCCATGCCTCCCATTTTTCTGTATCTACCCCAAAAGGTTTTTCATTCAGAAATGGGAATCTCTGTTTATGTGTAGAAACACCACCATTATAATCTAAATAGATGCAGCATACAACTTCGTGGCTGGGTTAGCATCTAGTTCAATACCCCACAGAATGCCTGGACTATCGTAACTGGGAGCTTAAATGAAAAACTATTTATCTGAAAGCACAGTTTACATAATCATCACCTTGGTAACACTTTCACAGTTTCAATTTATGGCCTTTTACAAGGCTACTGCAGTTATTTCATGAAATAATATGCTCAGTATGGGAAGAACCTGGCATGCTTGCCTTTAGGGTGAATAACTTGACTAGTTTTGATATTAAACTTTTGCCTTTGACATGGAATCACAGGCCTCTTGGTGACAATTTCACCAGACAAATTCATAATCCTATCAACTCAGTCAAAAATTAGATGTAACATGCAACATTTGACAAGTTGTTCCAGAGAAACTACAGATAAATATCCAAGGATTCTCAAATCACTCTCCTAATGTTATTCTAATACCCCGCCATATTCGTAGCACTAGCTGTCCTGAGCTTCCACTACAGCTTTGATCCCTCCGCATCCTGAAGCACCCAAGTCCTACCCCAACACATGCCTGAGGCCACCCGACTATCTTCTCTACCTAGCAGCTGAGTAGGAGGCAAGTACATGGAGCTTTGCATGGATTTACTGTCTAGGAAGCGAGCACTTGCTGCTTAAATGGTTGGCAGGTAACAAACTGGAATAAGTGTAGATCTTGAGCAATAGCATTTACCTCTGGAAAAATTCTAATTTGGGTTTCCATCTCCTACTCTTTCAATGATTTTCAAAAGACACCTGTAGAAATTCAGAGCTTCTATTTGCAAGTCTCTACTCAGTTCAACAGTTACTGGAGAAAACACAGTGCAAACCATGTTTTTTTCATATATGCTTTTCCTAAAGGAACCAGGTCAAAAATTGTTTATTTGTTAAAAGCACCCTTAAGTGTAAGAGGAAGTGACTTTTCTAAGAATGAATTATATAAAATAGAATTTAGAAGTGTCTTAAAACATCCCATTAGTGCTAAAACATTTTCATCATAGTGATGCAAGTTTCTGGACAACACTGTATGTATGACTACCCGAATTTCCCATAAATTATTAAAAAAATCTATTTTAGATTCCTGACAGTAGGGTTATATACCACTTGGTATCTCTATATTGAACACCTACACCACCATGTGGAGAAAAACAGAAATAGGTTTTAGAAATTCTAACTGATACTAAAATCTGTTTAAAAACTCATTAAAAGCATTTATTTTTCAAAACTGAATTACATTTAATGGAGTTGGAATTCATACAACACAAAATATCATTAACTACCGAAGAAAAACCTAGGACTGCTGAATTACCTATCTTCTGATAATATCAAGATTACAACTTTTTAACCATTTTGAAGTTATTGCTAAATAAACCTTCTAGAGAAAATCTTCCAGGTTGTTTTTTACTAAACAACTTCCAAATAAAACAGACAAAACAGATTTTGGATTAAGAGAGAATCTAGTATTAAGTTTAATAAGAAACTGAGTGAAAAAATAGTTTTGGTAACAAAATCAGATTTATTCTTACCAGAACATCATGCACTAAAGCTTGGTATGTCCAAGTATGATGTAGAGGAGTTGCTAAATCTATGTTTCTGTCAACAAGGACTAATAAGGGCCTTTGGAAGCTGAAAAGATGACACTGTGTTAGTACTTCTTTAAACATGTTTAGAATACTCCAGTAACATCCTGAGTGACACCAGCCACCTTCTACATACTTCAAGTTAAAAGCCAAACTGCCTACTGCAGAGTTCCTCCAGCCTTCCCCAAAGCATCTGGGGCTGACCACTGCCAGAAATGCCATGACTCATTGTCTTAATAGTGATAAAAAGATTATCTTATTTTGTACTAAGTAAAATTACCAGCGCATAAATATTGAACAGAAGTCAAAACACTGAAGAGTAACTAGCCTTTTAGGTATTAACTAACATCCCTTTGTGTGGATACACATTTGAGTTCCAAGCAACTGTTTGAGTGAGTAATACTTGACCTTAACCCCCATTGTGAACCTCAAATATAAACTCTCTCTCAAGGGTTTTTAATTTCATTTTTCAATTGGCTTGTATATGGAGTCCATAAAGAAAAAAATATGAACTTCTAAGATGCATTGTGGTAATTCCATCAACACACAATTTTGTGGAAAAAGAACGTAGAGATGCCTAAATGTCTTGGGTTATGGCTACATGAAAAAATTACAGTGAAGAGAGGAAGGCTGTGAATTATTGCAGAACATTATTGCAACCATTTCCCTTAAGCACATTAACACTACAGTAAATGTATTTGATAGCTAAATTACAGAGCATTCCAACACAGTAAAAGCATGTTAATTCCATGCTCTGGATTGCCTTGCGGTAACTATTTTCACATAGATATAGAATCTCAAGAGCCTTAATCACCTGATTCTGAAAACCAACGTAAAGATCTGAAGGCATTTAACTGGTTAAAAGTTCCCATATTTCCCTTTCCCTGCATTTTGATTTTCTGAGGGTGATAATATTATGCTACCAGAAAAACAAGCCATCCCTCTGAAGTAAAAACAGTGGTTACAACTCAGTGTTCCCATAAAAATGAGAGAACTAGTATTTCACAGCTGTTATTGCTCCTAACACCTTTCAATCTCATTCTCTTTTGCCACCCTTGGCGTTTTTTGTCCAACTTTTATCCAAGTTCTGCTCTTAATTTGAGATAAAAATAGGATGACTATTTTATATACAGTTAGGAGATCATAACTGTTTCCTTCAGCTACAGTCTTCCCAATACATCTCCTCACCTTTTCATGCACAGTGTAAACTCCTGTAATATACTTTCCTAAGTATTCATCTGGGGGCAATGATATACGTGTGAGGCAAGTATCCACAACATCTTTTCTCACACCTCTTTTCCCTCAAAGGATTCAAATGGTCATGACTTAACAGCCCTTAACTATCTAATTATCCAAGTGGTAGTCCTTAAGCAGTTCTCCTCTGGCAGATATAGGGATCAGCTGAGAAATACTTGCTTTTGACACAACTACAACTGATAACAGTGCTCACAAGCAAGAAAATGGGTATTTCTTTTTGATAGACTAAACGTTGCTAACAAGACATATTTAGACATCCAACTGCATACTGTGGTCCTGTAAACTGAGTGTATTTGCAGGAGCTTGGTTCTTGCTGCGTTTAGAAGGTGAACAAAAGTACCTGTTTCATTAAATAATTTTTGTCTCATTGTCCTAGGACTGCACACTTATTAGCTATGAAAGTTTTCAAACAGGTTATACTAAAAGATTGGAAAAGTCCCTCCAGAGTATGTAAATTCTTTGAGAATTTGAACCAAATTCTTGTAAATACAATCTTCATTGCAGTGGTGACTTATCCTAATGAGATGTTTCAGACAACTGAAATCCGAAAAATAAAAATACATCATTATTACTAACACCATACCTGAACTGGCCAGCTCCAAGTGTGTCACCTGTAAAAAGACTGTTTCTGGCATCTCTTAGATTCTCTCTGAGCTTCTTGTCTAATTTCTGAGGGAGGGAAAAAATAGAACAACTCTTAACAAACCAATGGTTTCCTAACCTCTTTATATGATCAACGTTTAAAGATTTATTGTGCTGTTTTAGTATTTTATAAATGTCCTAGTTTCAGGAAGTCTAGGTTCACTGCACACAGGAAGGCAAGAAGTCTCTTCTACTTTCTCCCCCCAGCATTTATAGTTACATGCAGGACTACATAGAAGATGTTTATGTCCATGAATCTCCTCTCAGGCAATTAGCACCTTCTTCCTAAACATGTAAAGAGAAAATACCAGTAGGAGGCACCAAGAGGGAACCACGGCAGAAGCAGCAAACTGGGCTGTGAGACACTGCCATATTGTTTCATAAAAATGAGATTACCCTCTATGCAGGAACACACTCAGTCCTAGGTGCTTAGGTTTAATCAGTATTAAGGCTTCACTGATAAAGACGTGAGGAAGATGGAAGAAATGAAGCACAGTGTCTCCTAACAAAGACAGTGCTGTAAAGATTTTTAATTGTGATTTAGTTTGGTAATTTCATCCCTACTTGATGATCAAGTTCAGTGTCAGTCTACTTTGACATAGTAAGAATGTCTTGTACTTACGAGGTTTCCCAGTAAGATAGATTAAAAATTCTTACTAAGACACACAGAAAAACCCAGGCCAGAGAGACAGTTTTTAAACAGGGTAGTTATAGCTTAACAGTCATAATTATAATGCCTGCCAGAAAATCCTGAGTAACTCTAGATTAGAAATGATTATTCATGTTTAAGTTTCTCATCAGCTGATTCTGTAATATTACAATTTCTACAGATGAGTTCCACGGAACTGAAATCAGAAAGAAAAACTGGTGTGTCTCCTTTCCAGTTTTATTTCCTTTGTAAGGAAAAGGATACAATGACACTAGATCTCTGCCTAATATTGAGAAAAGTAAACAAGTTGTTAGGAAAGTTTTAAAAGAATGATACATGTTTAGAAAATAGTTTCTTACCACTGCCACCATTTCAGCTGCAGTTCCTCTTGAGCATCTGATTATAGGAATAGCTCCTAATAAAAAATATATTTACTTCTACTTGTATTATAATTTTCAGATTATAAATGAGTAACATTCCGAGATGAAATTTTTCAACTGGAGAATACAAACTTACACTATCGCTCTTGTAGTCTTTATGAAACAAAAAATACTACCTATAAATATCAAATGAAGTTTTACAGAAGTAAGTGAACACCTCATACAAGAATTTAGGCGAATTATAGTGTACACTAGAAAGATAGCTAATGTACTGTGGAGGGGACAAACTATTTCATATAGAAGCATTAAAACTTAGTTTTGAAAGGTTAAAAGTCCTTTGAAAACAGTAGTAACAATAAGTACCATAACACCACCCCTACCACAATATATCAGTTACAACTCACTGCAGGGTGATGTTATTTTCAAAAGCACATTTTCCATTGCCTTTCAGGTTTCAAAATCGTTAGCTACTGTTTCTCACTTATTGATATAAATATGAATATTCCAGTACTATACAGTTTAAATGACTGAGTAAATGAGATTTAATTTGTATCATGCTAACACTTGGAAGGACTCAATAGGCCCAAGGAAATCTCTCCTGAACAGACTGTCCCATAGTGATCCCCAGCTCCCATGACAGGAATACTACCTCAGACAGACTGATTTCAGTGAGAACTTAGCACTATGAAAAATGTATGAGCTAAGCATTAAGAAAACTCACAATAAAATAAGCAAATTTAATATATCTTCCTATTCCTCGAGTTATTTAAGTCAGATTTTTGCAGGGCTTGTGTGAGGGGTTTTTTTTCTTCTTTTTATGTGGGTTTTTTGGTTTTGTTTTTTTCCTGAGAGTTACAAATCCAGACTCAAAGCAATATTGATCTTCATTGCAAACCAGGATTTTGTAAAAACAGCGAATCCAAACCTTTGCATTTCAGTATTCTTCTCCCACTGATACTGAAGACTAAGAAACAACTTCCATGTAGGGCAGCCTTTATTGTCTTTTACAGTGATGTATGGCAATAATTTGAGCCAGATCATTAACCCACCTCCAAATTATTAAGATTTCTGTCACAGATCTAATTCTGCCTTTAACTTGCTATATGAAATCACTAAACTTCTAGGTATCTCATTGAATATGGATCTTTTCTAAAAGAAAAACATACGGAAAATATGCTAGAATTTTAAAACTTACCAAGTGTAACAAAAAAACAGAAGAGACTATCAACTATAGTGTCCATTATAGTTTCCATCTCTGTGTCCGTTATATCTGGGCGGTTAATGGCTAAAACAGTGTGGAAAAGAGTTAAGAACAGGGTTAAAGCTTATGCCACTTTAATACTGAGAAAGCGATCCTTAAATCGTAAATGGCTGTCAATAGCCAACAGCTTTTGTTGCAGAAGAGATCAAATAATGAAATGCCCTTCTTAGCACATCCATTATATTTTTCCCCCCTTTTTTTTCTTTTTTTGAGCAAAAAAGTTGTGAGAATTTAATTATTGCTCACTGTCTAACATAAAACACTACACAATCTTTTCCAATTACCTCTCACAATGCATCCTGTAACTTCTGGATTGTGTTAGTAGTATTGCATTATTAAAAACTTCCTAGAAAATCATGTTACAGAACAGAAACGGCCATCCACTTGGAAACAGTTTTTCAGATATAAAATCCTCAAGAATTACTTGTGTAATGTAAGGAGAATTACAGTATGCAGTTATCTATATTTAAAGATTCTAAATCCCACCTCTTGTAATGAAGATTCCTTTTCCTTTTTCCTTTAAAAAGATAAATTTACTGTCACTCTCTAGGTTAGGGTTAATTCCCAAGTTCTAAAATATTTCACACTATAGATAGAAAGATTTCCCTCACATATTTAGGTCAGAACAAGAACTACGTAGCAACATTTCTATTAAATAATAAACACTGACAAGAATATAATAGCCAACAGGAAACATCAAACCTAATCTTATCACAGGTCTCAAGTCAAGCACTACCTCAGGACTCATACTATAACTCCCATCCTCCTTTCTTTTATTTTACTTCTAAAGATTTCTAATGTAATTACCTGTCTTACACTCTTTCTTCAAAAATTAACTTCAAAGCTCTGAATATTAATAAGCCTTCCATCCTAAATTTATGCATGGCTGTCCTGGTTTTTAAACTGTCACAATGGCCGGCCATAATAATTCTCTAACTTTAAAGGTGCTTGTTTTCCCCAGCTTTTGCCCTCTAAGAACTTTAGAGAGATTAATTATATTAGCAATTTCCATCAGCAACTATACTTAGTAAGTCAAACTTTTAAACTTGTTACCAGGCTGCTAGGATGACAGCAGCAATAGAAGTGCCCTCTCAGCATCTTTTTTATTCCGAGTTCAAGTTTCTGGAATATCAGCACCAAGAAAGGCAGACTGTTCCCAATATTTGTATTTTTCTGTAATGACAAAGCTTTGAAGTTAACTGGGGCTGTCATTCTGCACTTATCTCTGACTAATGGTCTCCCAGTTTACAGGAGGAAAATAATCTTATTTTCACTCCCTTGCCTTTCTCAATTTCAAAATTTCATTCCTTCTATTATTACGTTTAAGGTACTCACTTATGATGTTCCACTAATCTGCATACTGTCAGTGCCTTCTAATTTTGTGTAACATCCACATTTTACAAGCATGTTCATTTTTTTTTGTACAACAGCAACCAACATAAATATTCAATATTATGCTCCTTAGGTCAACCTTTGAGAAACTCCATTAATAATCTGTCAGTAAAATGTTCTGTTGTGTTCTCTGTATATTCCCTCTCTCTCCACTGTAACAAGCTTATTGGGGATGCATCTATTACACAAAAGTAAGCTTAGGTGTCCTACATTTTCTTGTTTTACAAAATTGATCCAAATTTGGTAAAGAAGCATTCAAATAGCATCAAACAGGATGCCAGGAACATCGATGTTATACCAGCACTACCCACTGACTCTTCCTTCTACACTGTCATAGAAAAACAGAACCAAAGGGAGCCTGAGGGATTATCCAGTCAGTTCTCTTGCCCAAAGGGGAGTTGAACCTATGTTATTTCTGTGTCTAAACCAATTCCCAAAGACTCCCAGTCATGAAAATGCCATAATGTTTATAGGTAATCTATTCTAATATTTCACTATCTTTAATGTTAGAAAGTGCTCCTAATATCTGACCAGAAACCTCATTGCAATTTAAGCTCATCACTTCTTGTCCATTACTACATGGACAGAGAATGTGTTATCTCCTTTCTGTCTGTGAAAGCCTTTTACATAATTGAAGAATGTTATCATGCTTATTTGTTCTGACATTACCTCTCTGGAAATGCAGTCATACAGCCAGGAAATCAGGGAACTGAAAATTAACCTTTTTTGTTATATTTGTCCTTAGTTCACCCAGTCAGCTGCACGCGTGGCCCCACCTGGCAGTGCTGCTGCAAGAACAGCAGCTGTCTTACAGCACCATCAGACTTACATTGACTTGTGTAGATTATGAAACCATATACAAACGGGCACTTTCCTGCTCGAGTTACTCTCCAAAGGCAAAAAAGACAACTCCTTCTTCACCCCTGCACTCCTACTGCCTGCCTGTGCCAGATCTAGAACTCACACAATGAGACAGATGGGCTCAGTGCTCTAATGGAAAACTAATCACTCTCTATGGGAGATTAGATTTCTGTTCGATCAGCTTTTGGAAACAGCCCACTTCTAGATTGGTTTAAACCTAGCGTGAGACCACATGTCATGTGGCAAATTTCAGTGGTCTTTCAGAGAGGAAAACAAACCACACAGAAACTGAGGGGTGCAAAACATTTTCAGTCGTTTTAATTCAAATTCCTTGCTAGCTAGCAGGAGTCTTACGAGAGCCAGTCAAGTATCTCTACATACAGACAAACACATCACAAAACAATTATTACTAAAACTCTTAACAGTAGGTTTTAGTAAAAAAATTAAAAGTCTGGTTTTCAAGCAAAAACGCCCTTCATTCTGACAACAGAATCAATTCCCAGTGCAAGACAGAACTCAGCACTATGGATCCAGTTCTAAAGAAAGGTACTGACTTCGGAAATTGGGCAGGAGAGGAGAAAAATGTCACTGCTAAATGTTGGGCATATGGAGACTTCTCATCTCTACCTGGCCACTAGTGAGTATCCTGTGCATCCAAATAAATCAGGAATTAACTGTGTGACACTGTGACTACACTAAAGTGATGAGGAGCTGCTGCTAAAAAAAGGCTATCCTGCCTCTGACTTACACACTGCTGCTGCGCTGGATTTGTAGGTCACACAAATGAGCTGGTATTTTCTATGGAATGAGTCAATCGAACAAACGCTCTGCAGCTCCCAGACTCCTGGTTTGGATGTAAAAGGAGGAGACAAGGGAAACTACAGCAGGGGCAGTGAGACAATCCACCCTGGAATAGCTAGCCATTTGAGTGAGAGGGGCAGGAGAGGGAGAGTGATAGTTCTCCGCTGATTTAGCATATTGAATGGGTCAGGGGAGCACAAAAATCAGATCAAAGGAGGGAGGAAAACCACGTGGACAATTATGACAACTAGTATATATGTTGACTTGAGCTGCTGTAGCACCACAGCTGTAGAGGTAATTGACCTAAGGCAGCCACTTGGTTTTCCTGCTACGTTCCGAAACAGTTTTTTTTTCAGAAGGCCCAAGAAAAGAAAAAAAGTTCCATGAGGCTGACTTCACTTGCAGCTCCCAGACTTTAGGAAGAAGCTGACATGCTTGGCTCACACTGCTTGCAGAAGCCACCAGCATTTATTTTCTAGAATGCCCTTTCCCAGATCCTTCCCCGTGCTACTCCAGCCCCTAATCCTAACCATCTCCCCATGCACACCCCTGCATGTTTTCATGGCTTGAATAAGAAAAGCAGGTACCAACTGGTCACTGTCTAGAAGATACAAGAAACTCTAACAGTTACAGTCATATTTCTTCCTTTACATTCCTTACAGCAATTTTTCAACTGCCCATTCACAAAGAAACAAAATACTTAACTGCTTAAGAATTGCAAAGGGATTATGACCAAATGTGGTGCCTAAACACAGCAGCCACCCACAGTGCCTATCTGCTTGTGTAAACAATACGAAATTTCTCCTGTATTATTCCACGTATAAAAAGCCCTACTATCCATATAGGATATATCCATAAAGCAGTTTTGCTTTACTAAATTTGTCATTTAAAAATACATAATTATTTTTCAGTATTACAACAGCCACTTAGTGAAGATGCTGAAATTAGTATCTAAGAACTGCCTCCTTCATGACTTTTAACTACACATCTAACAGATTTTCCTGAATTCTGAGCAGATCAAAGCAAAATAAAATTACTGCTCGCCATTAGCTACAAATTCAAAAGTAAATTTCAACTTTAGATTTTCCAGTATAAATTTACACAAATTTTACTTACCACGATAGGAAACAAGTTCTTTGTTTTGGTTACACAATACGAACATGTCATCTTCTAAAGTAATAAAATTAAGATATTGATCAAACACCTAGGAATGAAGTAATAATGGTCAGAACAGTTCAGAGTGAAGCAGAAAAAACCTATCTATGATTTATTTTTTAACATTTTACAGAACTATCTATTAAATGAAAGAAACGTAAGATATAATGCATGAATTAAAAGCCTGTGTAAGGACTGAGTGATACAAAACACTGAGTACCTGAAAAGGGCTAAAAGAAAACAGTCCAACTTCAAGTATTTCTGTGGACAAATTTTTAGTAGCCAATCATCACTGAAAAAACAGATATGGAGGACATTATAATATTAGAGGATTATTTTTTGTTAATATGAAGGACTACAACGTAAACCACTCTGAGCTTTCCAGCAAGACAGAGGAAAAAGAGCAATATCTACACAACTCCTCTGTAACATACCTCTGCATTCTGGAAAAAAATTAAACCTCTCTATAGCATGAACTGTTAATGGGACATCACAACAGAAAAACTGATTTAAGAAAGT